CAGTGATAGTTAAAGCCTTTGACAGTTTTACTCTGTTGCTTTTGGGCAATATCTTGTCACTGATTCCTCTGCTAAAAATCCAGCTGTTTCCAGGTTGGATATAGTCCCAAGTTATTTGGAGAATCTGGAGCCTTATATTGAGAAATCCTTAGAATCTGCAACTCCTGTTCAGGTAGTAGGATCAGGTCCTTAAAATGAATTCATGTATTTAAAAAACAAAAACCACTTAAATCAGTGGTTTTCTGTCTGAACAACCTACTACAGAAGAATACACAAAAATTTAATAGACCTCCTACACAGAAGCGCACATGCATTCAGAACCGGGATCTGTAATATGCTTTGTCATTTGCATTAAAACACCCTACATTTACAAATCTACCATCCACGGATAAAATGGATTCTAGCAGTCCACCAGCCCAATCAACCAGCACTTACATACAGCACACAGGCTTTGTATACCCAGACACAGATAAACCAAAAGGCAAAATGGCATATCCCAAGGGTATGCTCTATTTCACTAACCACAAAAATAAACACTGATGATCATCAGTCATAACACATTTTAAAACTGGCCTTTGAGTAATGAACTGAGTAATGCGATATAACCATTATAAAGCAAAGCATGCATCAAAGCTGGTTGGGGCAAGTGGGTGAAGGTAATGGCTTTGCTTTACATTACAGGCTATTCAATACCATGCAAGTTTTCTTCACACTGGGACTAATCTTCATGTTTTGAGACCAATTACAAAATTATCACTGATTTCCATGGGACCAAGATTTTGATTTTCGCAGTTAATTCTGCTCCATTATCCTGTCATAAACCAGGAAAAACTTCAGTGAAATTAGAGTGTTAGTGCAGGTTTACAAGAGTACAACAGAACTGAATTTAACTTTTACAGGGTAACTTGACTATTAGAATATAATTACTATGGAGATTCTACCAGTCAATACAATGATAATGTCTAAGCCTCCAAAAACATAGCAGAACCTCACTGATTCACATTCCCTTTTTCCATATACATAAGGTGGAAGTTTCCCCCAATCCTCAGCAAGGATGCGATAGCTAGAATACTCTAGTGAGGTCTAATATTACTAAGACTTCATTACTTTTACAAAATACTACAGAACACTAACTAGTGTACTATGAAGTACAAGCATAATTAAAAGTCATCTACCCTTGTCAAATAAAGTAAAGCACTTAAGATATGTTCAACCTTAAGCATGTACTTAAGTGCTTTGATCATTAGCTATGGACTTAGACACATATTACATGTTAAGTGCTTGAATACTTCGTACAGAAGAACCCTTGCATTTTTATTGCCTCTGTTCTGATAAGGAGGAATTAACAAATGTCAAAAGCTCACCATTGGTTTCCCAGTTCAATGGCATCAGCAAAGGTGTACTATCAAAATGGTAACTCAATAAAATCGAAGAAAAACTTACTTTTAGGTATATTACATGGTATTTATCTGGAAACCCCATTATAATGCCATGTCATTAAAAAACATTTGCATGATATTGGTGCTCAGTAAATTAAAATGATAGCAATAAACTTGATAAATAAAATAAATTATAGACTAAGGGAAAGACATTGGTCAGGATCAAGCTAGTGAAATAAACTCATTTTCTAGTTATTGCCAACTTCTGGAACATATTTAAATAAAGTATTTTGTAAAACTTCAGAGAATTACAAAATAAATGTTTAAAAATTATTTGTAAACAAGTGTAAAATGCAAATTAGATTTCAGTAGTTTATTTTGGAGAAATAAAGCAGTGCAATATAGGCCAACCAAAATTCAAAAGGCAGCCAGGAAAATAAATTCTTATTCAATGTTATAACTAGGAAACAGCATACAGACATTTTACTTGGATCCAACACTCAGATTCATGTAAACATAGTTAGTTTGAAAAGTCTTGAGTTACTAAACCAGATTTAGCATCATTTCCCACCATCATTACCCAATTAAAATATTTCCATTTTTATAAAGGGAACAAATGGCAAGTCCACAAACACTCAACCAGCTGGTTACATGAAAGTATCATACAAAAGCACACGCTGACGGTGTCCTTCCTGAGGGAATCTTTGTTGCATATTGAACACAAGAGATTTGAAAAACAAAACAACTTTGGATGTCAATTTTATTTCAGTCACGGATTTAGGAAAGGTCTGGTCTGTCATAAACACTTTTAGAAACCCTTGGCTAAGGGCATACACTTCACACACCACCACCAATCATGAGACCTGCAAAATAAAGTAACCTGTGGCATTCAGCAACTATTCAGCAGCCTCAGAATAACCTAGGGTTGTGTCAGGTGCATGATTCAGAATAGATTTGTACACAAATGCAGGGCCTTTGCTACACACCTGTTTGTACATATCTGTCTCTGAAATCTAATAGAAACACCTGACACTTGAAGCCCTGTACAAAGGAAGTTTTAGAGAATGTACAACTAATAATTCTCCTAAAGGGTTGTTTTGTTGGGGGGGGGGGGCTTTTAAGTATTCTATACATTTAATCCCTGCTATAGAGTTCCTTTGAATGGCACTAAAATATTATTTTCTATTAGATTCTATATGTTTTAAGGAATTTTTAATAAAATCCTATTACATGCTACAGGACTTTTCCATGACAGATTACCATGACTTTATGGCAGTGATCTCCTTACAAATGATTTGACTCACTCCTCCTTCCCAGCCTTTCCACTCCCTAGCTTTGTATCACATCCCCCCCCTCCTTGTCCATCACAGGGTCCATCAATATCAGATATAAGAATAAGCTGACACCGTTGAGATGCCATGGTGATACATGCCTAAGGTACAAAAACAGAAAAACAAGGAACTGTCATTTCTGTAAGATAGGAGATTAATTAAGGTGAAGTTTGCTTAACAGTGTCACTTTGAATATAGTTCAGGAATTATCTAAAGATGGAAAGGCCATGACCCCACCAAAGTAGTGTCGAACTCACAGGTTGACCAATTCAGTTACCTTTCATTTAGTGTTCACAACTGGCAAGAGCTGCAGGAAATTTTTGAAGTACAGGAAATGCTGCCATGTTTAAGATCTCATATACATCACAAGTCTCCTGTGGCATCTTAATTGCAACGTCCAATCAACGTGTTACACCTCACAGTGAGTACACACACACTGCTCTGGAAAATCACCCCACAAAGCCTCACTTGTGGGTTCAAGATAGCAACAGTTTCTAGATTAAAAGAACAATCATATATTACTAACAGACACACAGTCCTGCTTCACCCAATTCTGCCTATGTTTAACCGCTGAGAAGAATGTTTTACATCTGGATTACGTTCCTCAACTGAGAGCAGTGGCTTCAAATCTCAATTGTCCAGGCATTCACAGGATCCACAGGGCTGCTTTACTATGCTAAGAAAGTAGAAGTAGACCCATTTGCTGGCCCTTTTGCACAGCATAAACGATATTTAGCAGATTATATTCTTTGCTACAGAATGAACTGAAACCACTAACGCTTTCAGGGTCTTACACCAAACTGTAGGAAGAGAGGGCACTACTTTCTCCATTAAAAAAAAAAAAAATCACTCAACCCCTGGCACAACCACAGCTGTATCATGCACCCTTTCGGTTTTAGACTCTAGCCGTTCTGGGACAGAAACTGTTCCTTATTGCCATAATGCAAATCCAATTAGAAGCTGCCTTTATCTTGGGTAATTTGGCTCAAGGAAAAGAATCCTAGAGCTGGAACTAGCTGCCTCCTCCATTTTGAAAACAAAAGTAATTGTAATCTGTTCTGTCCCATTAAAATCATGTGCAGTCCTTACACATCTATCAAGTGACTGATGAAAGTCTGGACTGAGCAATGATGGCTAGACTCACTGTACTTCTGTGAGGGTCTTGCTGGAAAGAGGAAATGTGAAGCATCTGCGAAAGGGGAAAGATTCTCTAGCACTTCCACATTCACGCATGCCACCTGCACCATTATTCTTCCTGATTCCATGAGGTCTGATTCTAAAATGCTGGTAACTGGTGATTACAAAGAAAAACAATAACTAAAAAGCAACCCTCTCCACATTAAGGTCTAGTGTTAAAAACACAAGTGTGTGTAAACTCACTACAGATTTGCAACTGGAATCTGATGAAATGGATCCAGATCAGTTCCCCCCACCCTTTTGTTTTTTAGATCATTTCATCAACAAATCAGGTTAAATCAATGGAAGATTTTTTTTTTTTCTGTTTTTTTTCCCCTCTCTCTCTTTTTTTTTTTTTTTTTTTTTTTTTTTTTTTTTTTTTTTTTTTTTTTTTTTTTTTTTTTTTTTTTTTTTTTTTTTTTTTTTTTTTTTTTTTTTTTTTTTTTTTTTTTTTTTTTTTTTTTTTTTTTTTTTTTTTTTTTTTTTTTTTTTTTTTTTTTTTTTTTTTTTTTTTTTTTTTTTTTTTTTTTTTTTTTTTTTTTTTTTTTTTTTTTTTTTTTTTTTTTTTTTTTTTTTTTTTTTTTTTTTTTTTTTTTTTTTTTTTTTTTTTTTTTTTTTTTTTTTTTTTTTTTTTTTTTTTTTTTTTTTTTTTTTTTTTTTTTTTTTTTTTTTTTTTTTTTTTTTTTTTTTTTTTTTTTTTTTTTTTTTTTTTTTTTTTTTTTTTTTTTTTTTTTTTTTTTTTTTTTTTTTTTTTTTTTTTTTTTTTTTTTTTTTTTTTTTTTTTTTTTTTTTTTTTTTTTTTTTTTTTTTTTTTTTTTTTTTTTTTTTTTTTTTTTTTTTTTTTTTTTTTTTTTTTTTTTTTTTTTTTTTTTTTTTTTTTTTTTTTTTTTTTTTTTTTTTTTTTTTTTTTTTTTTTTTTTTTTTTTTTTTTTTTTTTTTTTTTTTTTTTTTTTTTTTTTTTTTTTTTTTTTTTTTTTTTTTTTTTTTTTTTTTTTTTTTTTTTTTTTTTTTTTTTTTTTTTTTTTTTTTTTTTTTTTTTTTTTTTTTTTTTTTTTTTTTTTTTTTTTTTTTTTTTTTTTTTTTTTTTTTTTTTTTTTTTTTTTTTTTTTTTTTTTTTTTTTTTTTTTTTTTTTTTTTTTTTTAGTAATTGTGTTGTTACAGCCTGCTCTGGTTCTGGGATCATTATGTGAATCCCTGTGCCTTTTCCTCAGTCCATGGCATCAGCTGGTTATTGAGAGGAAGCTTTTGTTGCCAAAGTGGCAACGCAGTGCTGCTGAAAGCTCGGTGAGACTGCAGAGTTGCAGCCTAGTCTCTGGTGCTGCAGCTTTACCGCGCTGTTGGTCTCGCTCTCAACAATCCAGGAGGACTCTTTTCCCACCACGCTTCGGCAGCCTGTGCTAGCACAGCATGTCCGCTCCCCCATAAGGCCGCTGGTCTGCTCAGCCAGGAGTTTGCTGTGGTTCACCTGGGTCACCTCTGGGGCCTGGCCCTGCAGGACAGCAGCTATGTGGTTCAGGAGGTCTGTGAAGAATTCTGAAACGCCCTCATAACCTGAGAAGGAAAGAGAAGCAAGTGAGTCACCTGCAACAGGTCGTCCCCCACAAATATCCCTCCTCCTTGTATGCCCCCAGTTATAAGTGGCCCTTACACTCTGCAGTACAATTCTGTGCACACAACTGACTGCAGGTGCAAACACTGGCCATGAACAGATGTTCATTTCTACTAGTGGAAATTTCTGAGAGATTTCCACCAGTAGAAATCTTTGCAGGAGACTGAGGATACAGATCTTCAGAGGCAGCCGCCCTCTCTCCCCTGCTCTCCCTGCCTTCCTCAGACTGGAGCAATCCAGTCCACCAGTGCCTGCTCCATTCCTCCCAATCCCCAAGGGCAGTGGTGCAGCAGGGAAAGACTCCCCATGTTTTCCCCAGACGAGGGGTCTAGGGAGCAGGCGGCTCCCAGCCTCTTCCCAAAGCAAGCACTACCTGGATGGAGGAAGGGGCCGGGAGTTTGGCTTTGCTGTTCCCCTTCCAGTCCCAGACTAATCCATGACAGAGAAAGCAATAGGGCAAAGCTTCCCATTTGAATACAAATGAAAAACACCACAAGTAAAATAAATAAATAAATAAATAAATAAATAAAATGCTAGGATTGGATTCTAAAGAGAGGTTATTTTTTTGTCATTGTATGGCATATTTATAACCCGAATGTGAGAAAGAATTAATTGTCATTTATACTGCTAAATTGGTTTTGGTTTTCGAAACTACAGCAGATTAGACAGCTTTCACAACTCAGGTTTTCTTTACAACTTGAAACGCATAAAAAAAATAGAATCAACCAAATTCAAAATGCCAGCTCCCCGGGCATCCGTGAGCAGCATTAATCAGCTGGGCATCACCCATCACCCAGCTAGGATGGTTAGTAGAGCAGGAGTCAAGGAATCCCCACTTCTGTTACACAGCTTCTGTTAACATCTCTTGCTTATGTAACCTCTGCCACCACCAGGGAATTCGTTTTTAAATCTACTCAATGCACTTCAAACACTCTGGGAATAAGCCATTTCCATAGCAACAGCTTTAACGTGCAGAGGGAAGATCCACAGTGGCCTGGGGTGTTCTGGGCATGCTCAGTTAAAACAAAATAAGCCCTATGCAGAGGGCACACAGGAAATTCGTAAGGAAGTCATTCTTAATATCTATGGGGCTAGGACAGAAACACTTATTAAGTCCTGAGAAGTGAGAGGTATTAGAATATAGGAAACTGTACACTTCTGAACCAGCACTTCGCAGCATCTCTCTGGGGATGCTGCAGTCATTCAGAACCGGAGTACACATGGTAAATAAAGGAAGGAGTCAGGAAGAGAGGAGGTAAACTTCAGCCTGACTCAATGCAAGGACTGAATGGACACAAAAGAACTCTATAAAGAACCACAGTCATGCTGCTGGCTGCTAATAACTAACAGTGTTGCCACAGCATCTTCAAAGGAAAATTCAAAGCAATGACTGCACATTCAGGAAATCAGGTGCAAGCATGAATTAGGTTTTGTCTGAAGAAATTACAGGAAACAGGGATGGGGGTTAAGTTACAGAGGGACAGTGGCAGGACATTCTTTCCACAAGCTATGATCACAGAAAATTAGGGTTGGAGGGACCTCAGATCATCTAGTCAGGAGATCATCTAGTCCAACCCCCTGCTCAAAACAACTAGATCTAAGGGCTTGGACTAGTTCATCTATTCCAAACCCCTGCTCATCCCCAACTAGATCAATCCAGCCAAGGCCTTTTCTAGCCTGGTCTTAAAAATCTCCAAGGATGGAGATTCCACAACCTCTCTGGGTAATCTGTTCCAGTGCTCTCCTACCTTCCTTGTGAAAAAGTGTTTCCTAATATCCAACCTAAACTTCCCTTGCTGCAACTTGAAACTATTGCTCCTGTTCCGTCATCTGCCAGATGACAACAGTCCAGCTCCATCCTCTTTGGACACACCCTTCAGGTAGTTGAAGGCTGCTATTAAATCCCACCTCAGTCTTCTCTTCTCTAGACTAAATAAGCTCAGTTCCCTCAGCCTCCCCTCATTAAGTCATGTGCCCCAGCCCCTTAACCATTTTCACTGCCCTCCACCTGACTCTCTCCAATTTCTCCACATCCCTTCTGTAGTGGGGGCCCCATAACTGGACACACTACTCCAGATGTGGCCTCACCCATGCTGAATGGAAGGAAATAATCACTTCCCTTGATCTGCTGGCAACACTCCTACCAGTGCAGCCCAGTATGCCATTAGCCTTCTTGGCAATAAGGGCACACTGCTGGCTCATATTCATCTTATTGTCCACTGTAACCCCCAGGTCCTTTTCTGCAGAGGTGCTGCCCAGCCAATCAGTTCCCAACCTGTACTGGTACATGGGATTTTTCTGTCTTAAATGTAGGACTTTGTACTTGTCCTTGCTGAACCTCATGAGATTTATTTTGGTCCAATCCTCCAATTTGTCTAAATCTCTCCGAATCCTATCCCTACCCTCCAGCATATCTACTATTTCCCGCCTCCCCACAGCTTGGTATCATCTGCACACTTGCTGAGGGTGCACTCTATGCCATCTTCCAGGTTATTGATGAAGATACTGAATGAAACTAGCCCCAGGACCTACCCATGGGGCACTCTACTTGATACTGGCTGCCTACTAGATATTGAGCCATTGATTATTACTCTGAGCCCAAAGAGTATCTATCTGCCTTATAGTTCATTTATCCAACCCGTACTTCCTTAGCTTGCCTGCAACATTGTTGTGGGAGATTGTATTAAAAGCTTTCATAAAGTCAAAGCATACCACATCCACTGGTCTCCCCACATCCGCAAAGCCAGTCATCTCATCATAGAAGGCAATTAGGTTGGTCAGGCATGACTTGTCCCTGGGGAAACCATGCTGACTGTTCCTAATCACCTTCTGCTCCTCCTCCAAGTGCTTAGAAATAGATTCCTTGAGGATCTGCTCCATGATTTTTCCAGCAGCTGAGGTAAGGTTGACCAATCTGTAGTTCCCTGGGTCCTCCTTTTCCCCCTTTCTTAAACATGGACACTATATTTGCTTTTTTCCAATCATCTGGGACCTCTCCCAATAACCATGACTTTTCAAAGATAACGGCCAGTGGCTCTGCAATCGCAGTGGCCCCCTCCCTCAGCACCTTTGGGTGCAAACTGCTGAGCCCCATACACTTGTATATGTCAAGCCTTTCTAAATAATCCCTAACCTGTTCTTTTCCACAGTTGACTGCTCACCTCCTCCCCAAACTGTGCTACCCAGTGCAGTAGTTTGGGAGCCGACTTTGCCCATGAAGACTGAGGTGAAAAAAGCATTGAGCACTTCAGCCTTTTCTTCATCCTGTCACTAGGCTGCCTCCCCCATACAGAAAGGGACCCACATTTGCCCTGATCCTCCTGCTATGGAGATACTTGTAAAAACCCTTCTTGTTACCCTTCACATTCCTTGCTAGCTGCAACTCCAGTTGTGCTTTGGCCTTCCTGCCTTCGTCCCTGCATGCCCAAACAATACTCTCATACTCCTCCCTAGTTCTCCATCCAAGTTTCCATTTATTATAAGCTTTTTTTTTTTTTTTTTTAAAGCTTACTGAAGAGTTCCCTGCTAAGCCAAGCTGGTCTTCTGCCATACTTGCTAGTCTTCCTTCACATGGCTTGTTCCTTCACCCTCATTAAGGTTTCTTTTTTGTTTTGGTTTGGTTTGGGTTTTTTTGTTTGTTTGTTTGTTTTTGAAGTACAGCCAGCTCTCCTGGACTCCTCTCCCCTTCTGACTGGCTTCCTAGAGGATCCTTAGTTGGCTCTTAGTTGGCCACTCCAGCATTTGCACCAGGAAGTTGTCCCCATACTCTCTAAAAACTTTCTGGATTTCCTGTACACTGCTGTATTGCCATCCCAGCAGATGTCAGGGTGATTGAAGTCCCCCATGAGAACCAGGGCCTATGATCAGGAAACTTCTACTAGCTGTTTGAAGAAAGCCTCATCCACTACTTCCTCCTGGTCTGGTGGTCTATAGCAGACTCCCACCATAACATCATTCTTGTTGCTCTCCACTCTGATCCTAACCCAGAGACTTTCAAGTGATGAACAGATTCTGTGGATTTGGCTTAGATCTCTAAGTGGGTACCACTTCCATGGGGTCCAGTGGAATCAGTGCAGTAGCTCCTTGAAATCTCAAGTAGCTCCTTGAAATTTCAAGTAGCTTACTTGAAATCTGGATGCTGGATTCACGAGAAAAATGTGTAATGACATGAACCTGGAAGGACTGCAAAAACCTGGAAAGACAGAAGCGCAATTCTAAAGGATTCTGAGAACTGGAAAGCTGGGCTAGAGCCAACAGGGTTCAGTTTGTCAGTTCATTTGTCAGTTCAATGCTGACAAATGCAAGGTGCTGCACCTTGGGTAGAATAAATCAAAACACAAGAACAACATGGGTGATAACTGACTGGATGGCAGCACTATGGAAAACGATGTAGGAGTATTGGTCGATCACAGTCTCAATGCAAATCTGCACTGTAATGCAGCTGTAAAAAAAGCGAATGCAATTTTGGGCTGCATCAATATGTGCAACAGGTGCAAGACATGGCTGGTAATATCATCTATTTACTCAGAACAGGTTAGGCCTCAACTAGAATACTGTGTGTAGTTTTGGGCTCTTTAAGCAGATGGAGATAAAAGGGATGTGATAAAAATGATAAAGGGCTTGGAAGGCAAACTATGAGAGAAGTGGCATTTTGAGCTTGTGGAAAAGGGCTGCTTAGAGATGTTAAACTGGCCTCCACCTCCTTCCCCAATACAACACGTTTTACCAGAAGCAGCAGCGCATTATTTTGACCCAGCTCTGCAGCATCTGTACAGATTGGGTGATTCAACGGGGTCTTCTGGAGCTTTTAGCTAAAGCTGATTTAAATTAGCTATTACATAAAAGTGCCAAAAAGCCCCACCAAAGCACCTGATCTATACAGAAGCTGCAGAGCTGGGTTCAACTAAGATGCTGCTTCTTCTGGGTATGTATGGGGCTTGGCACAGGAATATGCAGAGTTGAAAATAAAGTGCTGGTTTACTTATTTTAACATCTGCAAGCAGTCAAGGTGATTGAGAAGGGATATGATAGGACTTCAGATATTTAAAGACTGCTACCACAAAGACTACAGAGGACACCTTTTACCTATCTCAGCAAAGAGTAGGATACATAGCAATGGCTTAATATTGCAGCGAAGCAGGTTTAGACTGGATACCTGGAAAGAACTTTTTCACTGTTAGAACAGTGAGACAGTGGAATAGACTGCCTAGGAAAGTTGTGGAATCTCCTTCATAATTTGGAGATGTCCAGGAAGAGGTTGGAGAAGCATTGTTTAGGGATGATATAGGAGTAGCAATGCCTACAAAGAACAACAGTTAGAAATCCAGGAGTCCCACAGAATGGGAGATCACAAAAAGAGCTCGATAGCCCAGAGGAGATAGATATTGTAGAGGACAATGCTCAAAGCAGGGGAACAAAGCAGAGCTTTACAACCAGCTTAGTTACAGATGAAGATTAAAAAGCCCGGGATAAGTTTATAAAAGAGAAAAGGGCTACAGAAAGGAGGTACGACAAGTAGAATTATTTGCTGTCTCCAAGTTGGTGAAAAGGAATGAAGGGTGTTTTTCGTGTCTTTGGGCTACATGCCTTGTAGCTGTGTGACAAGGTTGTTTCTATAGTTTTAGGAACTGGTTAGATAAGGTATGAGATGGTTTGGATAGGGATGTTCCTGCTTTGAGCAGGAACCTGGATTAGATGACTTCCTGAGGTCCCTTCCAATCCTACTTTCTAATTCTATGAGATCTGAATTTGGTATTACAGAGGTAAGAAGTGAAAATACTGCATGTGAACAGTATCAGCTTCATGAGCACAGACAGGTAGGACAACCACACAGTTTGAGATGCATCTGAATCAAACCATCACAAAAATGTCCTGCTTTACCTTTGGGGGTGTTGCGATGCAGGTCAAGACCTATATTTAGCAAGTGGAGATCACCTTCACACAGGTTTTGGAACAAATCAGTAAATTTTAAACTAACATTGCAAATATTATAAGTTTGGTTGTTAAAAGAGTGCCCTTCATTTGCAGACAGCCAATGATGAAACCCATTTTTGCGCACCGTCATCTTCTCAACACCTGGGAGAAGACGGTCACCCTCCTCTGCTGGTGACACCAAGTTAACACTTTCATATCATAACATACATCCAGATTTCCTACACTCAAACTCCACCGAAAACGCATGGAGTCTCTAACTCTGACACTGCAGACAACAGAACACAGAAACCACACCCAAATTTATGCATGAACAACAGTAACCAGGTACAGACATGATGAAACAGTATATATGTAACCTTTTTCACTCTATCATCTTCTCAAGTCAGATCACCTCAACCTGACAGAATGCATTCTAATGTCTACCTGCCTAGCATTAAATATTTCATTGTGTTACTACATCCAAATATACAGTCCAGGCAGTTTTCAGTCATGTAGGACAGACAGCAGGTGTCTTTGACATTTATCTTATAAAGATTGTTGAAAAAACGTTGTTACGATACACAGCAGATGACAGATGATGCACTTCTACACATACTTCCACTACAAACTGGCAATGGTAAATCAGACCCAAGATCACAGCAACAGCTCGGGAAAGGGGTAGGTTCATGAGCTTTGCAATCTGATTATGGCAGCAGCAGAGTAAATTGGATTTGGGAGCAGATGGAACAAGGTTTGGGCCAGCCTGTCTTCATCTCAGTAGCTGGGACTATCTGAAGTAGGGTGTGAGCCCATTTTACAGGCATGTCCCACACCTCCATCTGGCAGCTCAACTTCTGGCTTCACAAGCTAGGATGACACGAGCAAAGAAGAGAGCCCTCTGAAAGTTCATCTTGCTGAGGAAAGGAGTGGATGTGGGAAGATTAGGTCCACTGTGATGTAGATTGTCAGAAATGCCCTTAAGGGGTCAGTTTCTCTTCAGAAAGCTGTTGTGCCATCTTTTCTCATGTAACCAATTTTTGGAACTGACTGTACAGGACTATGCTTTTAAAAAGGTCCTGTCCCACATTCAAATTAAAACTGACGAGAAGCCAGCTATAGAGATAGTGCTTGAAAATGTGTAACTTTGTAGCTCGTTGGCTCTTTTTAATAGCTAGATAGTAATTTTTATGGTGGAATAATTACTTTGCACATGTGGCCAATCTAAATTTGTCTGCATTTAACCAGTTAATTGCATAAGATATGTAATGTGTGGCAGGGGCCTAAGAGATGGCAATCCCAGGGAAATGCAGCAGTTGGGCTTGGTTGTGGGACATGCAGTTTGAGGCGTGAATGAGCAGCACTGAATTTTTCTTGGTTGGAAAATAAATACGCAAATGTACAAACCCACTGGGTAGCTGCCCCTCCCTAATCTATTTGGTAACAAATTTAAGGATTGGTAACCATAAACTTACATAAACAGAGCTTCTCTATGCGTTCAAACATTTTGAAAGGACAAGAAATTTTCTTGCTTCAGTGTCCAAAATATCTATCTATTTACAGAGAACAAACTATTGATCCAATGCCTCTTAAAAGCACAAGATATCATGCAGCTCAAAATGCCTGACTCAGAAGGAATTTCTGATGTCTAGTGAAAAGCTGCAGCTTTGGGCGGGAAGCTCTACAACAGAACAGCATTGGTATGCAGGTGCCTCTCCATGAGCTTCTGCAACAGGGATGGTAAAAATCTCTCCTTGAATACTGAAATTTGCTGCAGCTTTCACCCAATGCAGGAGTCACTGTTTTGGGGAAAAGGGAGGTTGAAGTTTAGTTTGTTAAAAACATTAAAGCCCTCGGCCATTGTTTGTGCTGTGTTTTTTGGCAGTAGGAATGTAGATAAGATTGGAATAGGACTTTCTGGATTATAAAGTCCAGTTCCTTGCCACTAAAGGGAGGTATGCAAAATAAATCCACTCAAAATGTATCAACCCCTATCTTAAAATGAATTAGGTGGTTTGTCCCCCTTTATTCTATTGGAAGACTATTTGCAATTCTTTTGTCATTTGTTTGTGGGTCATACCAGCACAGTGGAGGCATCCCCACCACAAATGAAGGGAAGATTCATACTGCAAAATGGCTTGAAGAACTCAGAGCACCACGGAGGTGGTGGGCAACAGATAGTATTTTAAAAGAAAGCTCTGAATCTAGGAAAATGGATGACTATGTAGATAAAATGGGATGGACCAGCATCTAGTAATGACATCCATCATATTAAAAGGAGCTGGTTTTCATTTGGCTTCCTTGGTTATAATACTTAGGAAGGTGAAAAACCAGAAGTGAGAGATTAAGAAGGGAGACAATTTGGGACAGAATTTCTGCCTCAAAAAACAACCCCCCCCCAAAACCTCACACCATCAAAAAGTTGGAAGAAGAAGAAAGCACACCAGATTAACAACTCTGCACACGTTTGTACAAGGGAATCCTACAGTTTCAGTAGTGAGATAAAAATATCACGTGAAAACCATGTACAAGGCAACTACTCCCAGCGCCTAGCAGATGCATTTTTTTTTTGCTGTTAAGCTAATGAACATGGAACTGAGACAGCACATTATTATTCACCTTTGTGCTGATTCACACATTCCATATGCGAAGAACTTGTTAGCACAGGATATGGTTTCAAAAGTGACTGAACAAGGCAAGGGAAACAATATTGATTTTGACTTGGTCTATAAATATTGTTATCCTTCAGGGTCAAACCATAGCAACTTGTCAGGTTTCTGAATGAGATGGAATGATCTTCCGATCTGCTAAGACATCTCCTGTGTTCTGAGGATCCCAGCACCTCTCTTACATCCATTACTCCCCAGTTACTGCTGTAATAATTTATCTGTGAAAAGTGTTTCATTTTATTAACTCAGATTTTGAAAGGTACATGGCTGGCTGTGCCTACTCTTCAATGTCATTGTGTCATGGTGCCCAACAAAAGCTGGATAAACCTGCTTGCAGTTGTCCTCACCTTCCACACCATGAGGCAGACAGACCAGTGGCCTTCCATGAGACTTAAAATTAAGTACTTCATTTAGGGATCCACTGGGGGGGTGAGGGTCCTACCTCTGTATAATAGAGGGTGGAAGGTATGGCATAAAGTTGACTAGCCATCCACACTATGGTTATCTTTGTCCTAAACCTCTAGTTATGGCATGTGCTACTGAAGTACTAGATTAGAGATCCATCACCCCAATGAATAGCACCCTGCAATCAGAAAATCTGCTCCATTTTTTATTCTAAGAGGCAGCAATCCAACTGACTTCCATTCACCAGTAATATAAATTCCACTTTAAAAATACAGGGATTGGCATCCATACAGCACAGTGCAAAGTGAAAGAACTTTCTTACCTGGGAATGCATTGATATCAATGACTGCATGCTGCCCAGTCTGATTGTTAATGATGATGTCAATTCCAAATAGGGAAACTCCCAGAGCCTGTCTCAGTGCCTTGGAGATCTCCCGGATGACATCATCGTTTGGCCGCTCAAACACACCTTCGATTTTATCAAGCTACAACATAAAAATAAAAAAATCCTGGGTGCTTGGAACTCAGCTCTCTCTTCACCGCAAATGTCAATCTAAAGAGTCGCTCGATCACTGCAGGAGAATCACTTCCATGAATTAAAAAAAAAGAGAACCCACAACAGCTTCTTTTGCCATTTAGCATTTTATGCAAATTAAAAGTTGGGCTTCTCCACTGTACCTCATTCACTTCTTGTTATACTGATTTCACGCTTGTGAAACTCCATGAAAAATCAAGAGACACAGAACCCCAATAAAAGCAAATGAAGAATCAGGTCCAGTATTTTAATTATTAAATGCATATATTTCAAAACAAAAAGAACACTGCAACCTTTACTTTTGCACTGAAGATTATTTTGGATTTCACCAAACGAATGGTGCCATAATCTAGAATTTAATCTGTCTCAACAGACTGATAAAAGTTAATTAACAGAAAGGGGTTTTCTGCAGAAGATTCAAACTGTACTTAGCCTTCTGGAGTTGCTTCAAGGCAGAAGCTGCCTTTTGTATGGGTTTTCAAGTTTGTTATTAATCTACAACAAGTTATTGATGTAGATTTGGATAATTTGTAAATGGGAAATTAACTACTCCTTGGGGGCTGACCAGATACAATTTACAATTAAGATTCACTATTCATTACTGCTTTAATTAAAGGAGAGAGAGAGAGAGATTAGTTTTTATCAATGTTATAAAATACTTACTGCTGTTAAGACTGAGGAAGATTCTGGCTTTGACACATTGTGGCTGTTGAAAAATATTGATTCTCTATCTGAAATTAAAAAGAAAAGTAATAAATGAATATAGACTTGGAATTTCTTTTGATTTATAAAGGATTAGGTTGCATACAACACTAGGTGGCAGTACAGCCCAGGGAATCTAATCTAGATTAATAGTTAATGACATTCGGGAGCCAGTCCCCCCCGAAAAAATGGTATTTTCCAGTCTTCCATCACTTAGTTACCTGTCAGCTGTAGAAAAATACAGCCAGAGACCGATACAGTTTTAAGATCTTAGGACACACACAAGATATACAAACGCATGAGTATATTATATATGGATGGTTGTGTTTCCCTGTAATAAAATAAATTCTATTAATTAGAAACCATTTTTCCTAAATTAATGAAACTGTTCCTAGGCAATTTTTAGGAATTAAAATGACCATTCAACTGGAAACATTCAAGATCTTGTTTACATGACTAATGGGGAAGGTCATTGTTATGGCTGCCATCAGATTCAACTAAGAGAGTGCAGGGAGCTTTCAAATTAAAATATCCTGATCCCAAAGGACAGGTTCCCCAAAGGGGTGACCCCAAATGGCAGGATCACCTCAGTGAAGAGGCAGACAGAGGATACTGCTAAAAGGCTAGGAATATTTTTAAATCTGCTGTCACCACAGGAGCCTTACTGCAGAGGCTGCTCCAGGACCTGCATCCTGCTCACCCTCCATCTATGCCACCTCCTTTGCCCATTGCATCCCCTTTCAGGCTTTCCGGCAGGGCATATGTTCTGAAAGCTTTCCATCCAGATCACTTGGGGCTGAGCTTCCACCACCAGGGTGCTCTACCAGCACACAGATCCAGGAGTGAATCTGGGCCAATGTCAAAACAAACGTAGCATGGACTATGCAGGAGCCATTACTCTCTTAATGGGTCAGTCAAAGAGGGTGTTACTCCTGAGCTGTTCTAGTCAGCAGACAGAACCACGGAAAGTCCTAGCTGATTGCTTATAGTAAAGATGCAGAAGACATGGGACACAAAATCAATCTGTGACTTCTGATAACATGTGGAAGAACAATGGTGGAGACCTACAGCAGGTGGCAATGCCAGCTTTTAGATATTCATGGCCTAATTTTCAGTGATGCTCACAGCCCAGAGCTCCTGCAGAGCAGCAGATCCGAAGATCAAGCTACCAGTGCTTAGCTGTTTGTAATCACTAAATCACACATGTTCCTGATGCATATGGACAGGTTAGAGATGGACAAGGGAAACTTGATGGGGAAAGGGAGAAGGGGCAGTG